CTTCAATCAATCAATGTATGAAATTAGGAGTCCAAAATGCCATTCTTAACATTTTGGACTCCTAATACATCACCACTCAATTTGGTCTTAGACGTCTGGGACCTTACTTTGTTGCTAATCTGTGATAGTGCTCCGTATTTACTTCTAGGGACCTTACTTCTATTAAAGCTATATACATATATTTTGATTTGGGCTAAAGTTACATTTTTATTAAAGCAATTTACATTTCCGTTTAGTTCAAGTTACATTTCAGTTAACACGATTTACATTTTGAATTATCATAAATTAGATTTCAATTAACGTGATTTACATTTTTTAATTTCCTCAAGTTACATTTTATACACCCTCAAATTACATTTTGATTTGTCTAAAGTTACATATTGTAACACGCGGTTTACATTTCACATATGAAAAATGATCAAACTATTAGAGGGAGTAACATGAGTTTTTCAAGGCACAAGTTACATTTGCCGCTCATTGAAGTTACATGTGTAATAATGCGAGTTACATTTTATTATAAAGGAAATTATATTGCGAAAATAACCAGAAAAAAATTCACAATTAGTGTTCATCCGCATTTTTTATTTAATAATTAAGTCAAATGACACCTATGAGAGTATGATCCTCACCGTGGGTTGCTCCCACGGTATAACAATTCATTGATGACTGGTGTATTAAAAAAGTGTTATCTTAAATTCTTTTCTAGACTCAATGATTCTTTTCTAGACTCAATGAAGGATATTGGATTATCGTTCTTTCTAGCTCCAACCCCCAATAGTTCAAATAGTAATGTTTCTAACCGTGCATCTCTATGTTCTTTATCAATAACTAAAGTCCCGTTCAATATTGTTTTGAGCTTTTTTTTTTAGAAAACAAAAAACAGTTTTTAGTTTTTTATTCCCATTTTTTGAAACCGTTTTGATTTTGGTGCTGATTCCTTTTGGCTTTTTTCAATCTTAGAAGCAAATAATTACGTTTGAATGAAAGAAAATATCATTTTCAAAGGAAAAATCGCTCTAAATGTCATTTTGGCGGCATTGTGGTAACAGACCAGCGGTAGCGAGAGTCGAAAATTTCTGGTGATCGGCGGCGACGATTTGATGGCGTCTAGTGGTGGCCCGACGACAACGTTATGGTGACATTTGGTGGCAATCAGCGGTGCATTATGGTGGTATCCGGTTGCAGTTTTGTAGAGGTCGGCGGTCTGGTGGTGGCTTGGTGGCGATCGGAGGCAATGGTCCCGGGGCAGGCCTATAGTGATTGATGGCGGCAGTCCGGTGGCAGCCTGGTTGATTGTCCAAAGGTAGCCGCCGCCGATCTAGATGCGGCTTGACGATGGTCCGATGGCGGTCTGATGATAGTCTACGGGACGCCAACGGTTGTTCGGTGGAGGGCATAAGTGGTATGGCAGTGGTCGTCGCCGATCGGCGGGCTGTGGTTCGATTGTTCGGTGGCAGCCGGAGGCGGTCTGAATTTGGTCTGGTGGCAGCCGTCTGTAGTCTAGTGGTGGCCTAGTCAATAGCGACAGACCGGCGGTGGACGCCAGTGATCTTGCGGCAGCCCGACGGTGGTCCATTTGTGGTCATCGATTCTCCAGTGGTGTCTGACAGTGATCCTATGTAAGATTTTAATAGTACAAGACTTGGTATGAGAGATAAATCGATAACAAATTTACGGAAATCGTGTTTTGTGAATTTCAAAATACTATTTTAAATATACTTCGTAAGGTTATAAGTTTGGAAACAGAAACATCTTTTAACCAAAAGATGAAAAAACAGAAAAAATTAAGGATATCATTATAATTAAATAGATGGTCCGGGGAAAACAATTGATTAAAGGATCTTATCAAGATGAAACTCTAATGGATCTCTTTTGAGAGAGATGAAAACTAGGTGCAAATTTTTGGGATTTACTCTTATTAAACTTTTGTTATTACAATATATAAATATAAATACTCCGTATTACATTAAAATTAATACTTCTTTCCTGCGACATTTTTTAATTAGTCTGTCCAATAAGTTTTAATCCCGCCTTTTGAAAGAATGTTAAAATGTTGTGTGGCTGGTATGCACACCCGAATCCCTGATATCGTCCAATAATGATTTGCTCCCCTCCAAGCCCTACCAACAGAGACCTTTTCAAGCTCTAGTTCCAGTATTTGTGACTTTCTCGATGTGGAAGTTGGCAACTCTTTAATGCAAATGACGATGGTGTCGAGGTTTGGCCCAATGTCAACGTAATCCTCCTGCCTTAGAGGTCCATTAATGGGTTATTATTCAGCTTTTCAACTTCTTTTTCTTTTATTTTTAAATTGTCACGGTAATAATAATTTATGATTTTGTTTTATCTCTCCTTTGTACAATTTTTTACAATATACGGAGTATATTTTATTTTTCTTATTTCACATCTAACACAAATTTTACAATTTCCACGTACCTCCATAGCCATAAACAAAGAAAAGGCCTGCAATTGAGATTGAAAAAATGGATTAAAAGGACTCAGATATTACATTTAGACTATACAATGATATAATAAAGGTTACCGCCCAGATGTCGATTCAACGCATCTAAAACATTCAAGTAAATATTCCTCTGCTCATTTGTTAATTTCTCAATGAGATCTGACAATTCTCGTGCTAAAGTTTCTTTATCAATGAGATCTGGCAATGTATAATAATAATGTACGTACTGAATATAGTGTCCATATATAATATACTGTGTGTATATGTAGCACTACAAAAAAACAGGGCCGTAGTCACAAACTTAGTCACGGACCGTAGTGTTAAAAATCTGTGACTAACTTCTTTAGTCACGGATGGAATCGATGACTAAATGGGCGTGACTAATGGAATGACACATGTCAATGTGACTTCCAATTGTATAGTATATAGATATAGATATAGATAGCAACTCCGGTCACGAATTAGTCACGGATGTTGGCCGTGACTAATCCGTGACTAACCTTAGTCATGGACAAAATTGTGTGACTAATTTTAGTCATGCCCATTAGCTTTTTTTCTATAATTTAGAAATTTTGGGACAAAGTTAATTGCATATTCAACCATATTATTAAAAACACGATTTCAAAATTTAAAAAATGGTTCTTGGAGGGGGTTTTGCGCATGATTAATCATAATACAGGGGGGTTTGACGCATTTTTTAAATCATAGGGGACTAATGCGCCAAATTTTTATTTCATGAGGGGGTTTGATGCATTAAACCCTAGACAGTAAAGTATATTTTATGATAACCCTAAATGTAATAAATACAGTAACAAGTAAGTCATTTCTGCAATCTTGATAAATCATTTATGTAATAAATATTTTGAAAATGTTATATACATAATATTTCCATAATCAATACTTCTAAGTAAACTATAACAAAGCCATCTTCTATCTTATTGTGACATTATATCTGTATTGATAATATTCATTGTGGGCGGTCCAGCCCAACTGGCGCCGACTCACTCTCCCTTACGTGAGGTCCCGGATTCAATTCTCAATGAAGTGAGATTAATCCCAGTTTAACCTAGCCCCCCAAACCCCTTTCCCCTTGACGCCCCCTAAGGTAAAAAAAGATAATATTTATCGCGGAGAAGACTCTTTCCAGGGTGATTATTGCAATTGGTTCACATTGCAATAAGATGATATTCCAAGTTATAAGAATTGTGAACTCTAAACTCAACCATCTTTTTACATAATATTCACATGTCCTTTGAATGATAGGAAATACTTCATTTGTTCTCATTCATTTTCTCTTAAATCTTGAAATTTATCATTAGAGCTCTTAAGCAAGTTCAATTTTCTCAAATATTTTGATCTTTTTATTACAATAAATGCTAATGCGGGTACAATTTATCCATCAACCCCAACTCTTTATTCATCAAATGAGCAATAAAAACAAATTGCTTATTCTTGATCTTACATATATCCACATTTTAAACAAGTGCAATAATAAAAAAGATATTCCATCAAAAAAGCAATTAACATTTTACTTTGGAATTTATTTAAACAATTGGTGTGCATTCATGTATGAGTTTATTTAGAGAAATGGAGTATTACTAGTTACCAATGTTCTAAAAGGCGCTAGACGCTAGTCGGGCGCCAACCCAGCGCCTAGCGCCTAGGCGGACGCCTAGTCAGGGATTAGTCGGAGACAAAGAAATTGCATTTTTATCTATATTTTTGCATAAATATGATAAGTAATATTATATTTTTGTGTGTACAAAATACATATATACATATACACTAACAAACATGAATTATAGAATTATCACATTTAATCATACGTAGCATATGATAAATAATCACTAATTAACTTCATTATGTTATAAATATAAATAATGATGAAATTTAGGTATATATAGAAACATATATAGTTTTATCTTTATTTACAACTCATTTTCTTTATATCCATGTCTAAAGCTAAAGTACGCATATCCCTTAGAAAACTAAAATTAAAAAGTAAAGTAATGTTTGGTGAATTTAGACGGCCTAGGCGGCCGATTAGGCGCTCTAGGCGCGCAACTAGGCGGCATAGGCGGCTGACTAATTCACCTAGACGGTAAATCAATTAGTCGGAGCGCCTAGATGAAAATCGGGGCGCTCGACTACCGCCTAGCGCCTAGGCGGGGACTAGTCGGACGCCTAGAACGATTTTTAGAACAGAGCTAGTTACTAGTAAAAGATTGCAGCTATAAGCCTACAACTTTAGGGCTTGTTTGCAATCAATTAAAAAAAGTGATTTTGGCTTTTTTATAAGAAAAAAACACTTATTTTACCAAACACTATCAACTTTTACTTCCTCGGTTTTCGTGTAGAATCTACTTTTTACTTTTTCTATTACACAAAAAGCACTTATTTTACCAAACACTACCAACTTTTACTACTAATCACTTTTTCACAAAAAGTGCTTTTATTTAAGCACAAGTGGTTGCAAAAAGAGCCTTAGAAGTGGTCAATGAGGCGCCTAGTTGTCTTCCTATGAACTTAAATACTTATGAGTTTTCCCACCGATTGTGTGTATAGAAAACAAAAATCGAAGGCAAAGGGTGAACAAAATTAACTCCGGTTGAACCTGATAAAAGGCAGACCGTTTGGAAAGAGAAAGGAAACAGGGAAAGAGTCGAGGGAGGAGAGAGTTAACATAAGGAGAGCAGTCTCTTTTTCTTTCTTCTTCCCCCTCTCTGTTTCCTGTATTGGATACTCATCATCTTTGTCTTCTGCAGAGATGATTTCCTTAAATGGGCCCGCTTTCATGGTATTCCTGATCAAGCCCTCTCATTTATTCGGTTTTCAAAGCACCCATGGGTTAAGAATTAGGTTACTGTGTGAAAAAGCATGGATTTTTGGTTTCTTGATTTTGTATAATTTGAATTTGCGATTTGTTTTGCAGACAATTTCGGGGATTTCGAGGTGCTTGACACAGTCACAGTGTCAGCGGAAATTTTCAGCTCCGTCGGTGGTTGCAGCCGTCAGCTCGAACGGCCGGCCCGGAGACCGAAATGTGAACGTCGCGATGGGGAGTGCTCTGAAGGAGATGACTGAAACCGCCTCTGTCGTAGAGAAGGAGACCAAATCCACCGTCACCGGCGGAGTTGGAGATGTGTACGGCGAGGATGCTGCCACCGAGGATCAAACGACAACCCCTTGGACTGTCTCTGTTGCAAGGTACAAGATCTAATCTTTTCTTCAGGTTTCACTTTTTCCCAGTTTGTCCTCTCTATTTCAGCTCTTGTGAAGTGTACTCGTATTTTTTATGCCAGATTGCCATTTCTGGGTGTACCCGATCCGTTAATTTTAAGGAAATCTTTTTAAAAATCTGCGTGATTCTATAATTTGAAGTGATACACAGTATCTGGACACGTTTTATCTTGACATCTTTTTTTTAAATAGCTAATGTCTGTAAGGAAATAAAAAATGGGTTGTGTTTATAAGCTAGAATTAATTGTCATAAAATGACAAAATACCCTTTTTGATTTCAACTAGTTAAAAATGCCAACCAAAAGTGAAATAAATATGAGAGGGAAACACAGTCAATGTACTATGTATTTCCCAATTTATTGGGTTGCTAGATGAATACTTAGTTTCGATCAGAATCCAGTTAATTGAGATTGTAAGATGGAGCATAAAAGATGCAGTATTTGATGTAATTACTTTCTTGCATGTGATGTCATATAGACGCAGTTCAGTGTGATGTCTTGATAGTTTACTGCCCTTGCCCGAAAGAAATGACTCGTGGTTCTTGGTTGGTTCGAGGATTTCGGAGGGGAGGGAACATGAAGTGATATTATTTTTTCAAATAATAACTACATTTAAATTGTTCGAAATAAAGGGATGCTAAAATTGAATATCGAATCACACAATTATTTATTGTTTAGAAATAATAAAATGAAATAAATTATAAAATTTTAAAATAAGACTCATCCCCCTGAAATCCCCCAACCAAACAAGCTCTTAGAGTCTTCGCTGCGGGTTGATCATAATGAGAAAAAATGGTCCTTTGTGGTGCAGTGGATACACATTGTTGCGTGATCCACACTACAATAAAGGCCTTGCTTTCAATGATAAAGAAAGGGATGCTCACTACTTGCGCGGACTTCTTCCTCCCGTGGTTGTTAGTCATGACCTTCAGGTTATTTATAGCATAATTCTCTACTTCACACTGATTGTGTTATGAACTTTTATGCACAATTATCACAATATAGTTTCTATTTGAAATAATTAGAAACTTTTTCTGCTCTATCCTAACAGGTTAAAAAGATGATGCACACTCTCCGTCAGTATGATTTACCATTGCAGAGGTACATGGCCATGATGGATCTGCAGGTAACATTGCAACAATATTCACTTTCTATTTCTCAGTGTCTTATTGGTATTGCACCTGGAATATGTCGTTATTGGAATTTTAATTCAACATTGTAAAGACTCACTGAAAAGGACATGCCTTAGTATATTTGCATCCTCCGTCTGAAAAAAAGGATCCCATTTCAAAGAATTTCCCAACAAAAGAAGTCTTTTGTAACAAAAGAATCTTGATTTCATTGAATTTATTGTAACTTTTCCAAAAAGAACAGTTCCAGAAAAGGTATGTATGGTAAATTGAGTTCTTAAAGAAAGAAACATTTTTGCAAATTTAAGTAAGGTCAAAAGTTTACCAGAGTTGTACTTTTCGAAACTAAAATTTGTACCTTGATGATTTTTTTCTTACTTTGGGACATAGGGAGTAGCATTAGCAAAGCATGTTTGCGAAACACACCCTCATATTCTCTATTTCATTTCTTTCTCATTTTTTGTGCAGGAGATGAATGAAAAGCTATTTTACAAGCTTCTTATTGACAATGTTGAAGAGCTTCTTCCAATTGTCTATACTCCCACTGTGGGTGAAGCTTGTCAAAAATATGGAAGCATCTTTAGGCGACCTCAAGGCCTTTTTATAAGCTTGAAAGAACGGTATTTAAACTATTGTTTAATTATACATTTTTAGTTTCTCAATTTTCGGCAGAAAGTTCATTGGTGGAAGCCATATGTAGGGGGAGAATTCTTGAGGTAATGAAAAATTGGCCTGAGAAAAAAATTCAAGTCATTGTTGTCACTGACGGAGAAAGAATTTTGGGACTTGGTGACCTTGGTTGTCAGGTATGACGTATACTAACCTTATTCAATTCTCAATATCATTTTTTATCGGCTGCATGACTTCTTTGAAATATGCCAGCTGCCCAGCGGTTAAACAAGCTCACTACATGATTTGCATGCTTAAATTAATTATGTTGTTTTGACTGTAATTTTTTAAATTCAGGGCATGGGGATACCTGTAGGAAAGCTCTCATTGTATACTGCTCTTGGGGGCATTCGACCCTCTGCTGTAAGTACTTGTGTGGAAATTATTTGTATATTTAGCTACTTCCTCCTTTATGGGTTTGGATAAGTTTGGTTCATGTCTTTCTAAGCTTAGCCTTTCTATTGATATATTTTATAATATAGCTAAAACACACTTACATCTCGCCTATAAACAAAACCATGTCTGGCTGTCTAATTGCTAATGTTTGAGTAATGGTTTGATAGATTTGGTTTAGGCAAAAGTATATGTTTCTATTTCTCGCTTCTGCTTTTTAATTTCGTTAACAGTTTTTTCCCAAAAGAGGTTAGGAGTATTCTTGTTTGTTTTCAGTTTGTCACAGGACCACTAATCCTTCAACAGAAACTGTTACTTATATTGCTAAATTTTGAATGATATGAAACTAACTGATGTATTTGACAAATTGCTTTCCTTTTCAGTGCTTACCTGTAACCATTGATGTGGGTACAAACAACGAGAAGTTGCTAAAAGATGAGTTTTATATTGGTCTCAGACAAAAGAGAGCAACTGGGCAGGTTAATGACCCATTTTCTAACAATCTCAGTCTGGACCCATTTTTTTCTAACGTCTTTTGTCCATAAACTGAGACCGTGTATATTGGCATCCCTAGGAATATGCTGAACTCATTGATGAATTTATGGCTGCCGTCAAGCAGATGTATGGGGAGAAAGTGCTTATTCAGGTTTGCTTTTTCTGGGGGCTCTTAATTTCTGTTAGATTGTTATTCTATTTACGTCGTACATAGTTCTAACTTTTTTTTGTTTTTTGTTTTTTTGGTAGTTTGAAGACTTTGCAAATCATAATGCATTTGATCTTCTTGCAAAATATGGTCCTAGTCACCTTGTTTTCAATGACGATATACAGGTATGTAGAGCATTTCCTTCCTCTAGTCAGAGTGGTAAGTTGGATTTTTTTGGTGTGGTGTGGGTTTACTTAGGGTATGTTTGGATGGGTGGTTTTGGAGGGGTGACTTGGATCGACTAATCTACTTGATTCATAGAATGTATCTAAGAACAAATAAAAGTTGATTGAAAAGTTAAATGATTGGGTCTGTTTGAATGAAGTGTTTTGGAGCACGAAGTCTATATCTTGTTTTTTTTTTACTCCAGGGGGTCTGGGGGAGGGGGGTTGGGGGGCCTGGATTAATCAGGGCTGAAACTCAGCCCATTGAGTTTCAAACCCATATGTGCCTAGCGGGTTTCGAACTCGAGACCTCCCGCTAGGCACGATAACCTCACAACCAGCTGGGCTGGATTGCTTGGTTTAAGTCTGTATCTTGATATATACTACGTACTACCTTTTTTAATTTAATTGTTCCGTATTCCTTTTGGGGTGTTCTTTATTAGTTGCTCCCTTTTCTAATTTTGCGAGTTTAATTCTCACCTCCCTACTTTTTACCTATACATAAATATCCGTGTTTTTCCATCTTTTCTTCCGTACTTCCAGCCCAGCAAATTCTTGGAGCTATGAAGAGGCACTCAAGTGCTTAAAGGAGTAGTTTTTCTATTCTTTATCATTTGTCATTTAGTATCCACCACCCCTAATCAACAAAAAACATAAGGAATAAATACATAAGAGATTTTATTAAAGAGTAGAGTATAAATAAATATATATGTGAATATATATATGTGTGTGTGTGACTGTTTGTGTATGTATGTATTCTATATAGGGGGCGGATCAGGTACAAACTGTGCTTATTGTGCAAACATTTGTACAATGCATCTTTATGATATTTGTATTGCGTATTGAGCTTCAAAGTGTTGCATATTATTCGGCCATAAAACAGCAGTTGCATATTAATGTTCAAAGAGTTGCATCCTAAAAAAGTTGGCTTCTATTACAAAAATGTCACTGTGCCTTTGTGCCTTTATAGCCTGTAGATCAACTCATCGAATGACCGAGATGAGTTTGTAGTTTCTAAACTACGGAGGGTTTGTATTTGATCTCCATTCTTGTGCAAAGAAAGTTTCCCATGCAAAGTGAAAATAAATCTTGTGCATTCATCTCTAGATCTAATCAAAATGAGCCAACAATGGACTAGATTTGATAAAAAAAATGCGGTGGCAATTTCGTAAATAAACCAAAGTTTTTTGCCGCTGCGGAAAAGTGCAATAGAAACATGTAACAGTGCATCACAGTGAGCAAAAAGTGCACCAGTTCGCACTTTGCACAGGAAAACTGCCTTCCCAGTTGAATTTTCAGCTGAAATTTAGTGGACATAAACTAGACTTGATGGAAAACGTGCTTAAAAAATTTCATCACAAAATTCCATCGGGAAGATCCCCAAATGGTCTTGGTCGGACGGCGAGTCCTGTCACGCCCGATCTGATAGATCGCTACTCTATATATATTGAGTTTGTAAAATTTGTGTTTATAAAATGGAAAAAAAGTAGTGGCTAATCAAATAACACTTAGTTCACGATTTATTAATTTTAGAAACTTTCGATGTAACAAACACAGAAGTAATATATTGAAATGTAACCTTGGAAGAGAGAATTTATGTAAATTCATACAGGTCTAGTTCGTACATTACAAATCTTGTGTATAATATGAGCATAATATACGTTTAGGAGGCATTAAACCTTAATAGTACTCCCTCCGTCCCATAATTATCTTCATTCTTTCCATTTCGGTCCGTCCCAAATTTATCTCCTCTTTCCCTTTTTGGTAAAGAATATGTAGTTCACAACCATTTTTTTACACATTTCTCTCTCCTTTGCACAACTCTCCACCATACAATTCCCGCTATCTTAAAACCTGTGCCCAGTCGAAACCGAATATAAATATGGGACGGAGGGAGTATGTATTAAGCTCATAACAGAAGCAATTGGATTATGGTAGGGCTACAATAAATAAATGTATAGACTTTGCTTGAATGTCATCACCTCCAAAATCCTATAAAGTATAAACCTTTAGTCCAAGGCTCTCTTAAGAATTATTCAAATCCTCTGAAGGCTGAACCCCCTCAAATCATGGATTTCCTTGAGAATAATTATAACAACCATCTCCTTGCTAATTATATTCCAGGGCACAGCATCTGTAGTGCTTGCAGGGCTTATAGCAGCACTAAAGAAAGTTGGGGGCACATTAGCTGAGCACACTTTTTTATTCCTTGGGGCCGGAGAGGTATTTACACTTCTATACTTTAACTTCTCTTGTTTGCATACCACATTATCACCCCTTTCGTCTCTTTAATTTCTTTGATTGGTTCCTAAGTTCCTTCACGTAATGCATGCAGGCAGGCACTGGTATTGCTGAACTCATTGCACTTGAGATTTCAAAACAGGTTGAAACATTACCACAATGTCTCTCCTTTCAATTTGTTCTAATAACAGTGCCAAATTGAGAAATTGTAATTGACTTAACTTATATAGACTGGAGCTCCCGTTGAAGAAGCTCGGAAGAAAATATGGTTGGTAGACTCCAAGGTATATTACGCAAATTCACAATTCTCATATGTTTGTCCTCGAGTCTCGAGATATTGCCTTTAACATATGAATTTCACTGCAGGGGTTGATTGTTAGGTCCAGGCTAGAGTCACTTCAGCAATTTAAAAGGCCGTGGGCCCACGAACACGAGCCCGTAAAGAAACTTTTGGATGCAGTCAAAGTAAGATTCTTGTCTTGCATCGCTCTAGTCTCTTCTCTTTTCTTCTGGAGGTCCCGCTTTGGATTATGAAGTTTGGCTGAAGTTAAAGTTAACTTTCCCATAATAATTTTTATACTATTTTTAATAATCACAAGTATATATTATAAGGTGACAACTCCGGTACCTTTCTAAAATATGGGGTACCGTACCTATCATTCATTTGATTGGACCACATCACTTTATCATTTTTAATTTAGATTTAAATAATTCAACTGCTACATTCTCATTGGTCCACGTGGACAAAGGTATGGTACCTTATGGGTACCATGGAATCTACCATATTATAAACTACATTAAAAGTTTTTGAACAACAAATACCCAATTCCAGTATGATAAAAGTTGATACATAAAATTAGACAATAAAGGAACTGGGTTGGCCGTAAAATAGTGGATGCCTGCCTGGATAGTACTTTTAAATTGAGATGGATGTAGTAGTAATGACAACAACAATGATAATTAACAAATACGAATAATAATGCTATGAAGACTCATATGCACATTTGGATCCCAAGGCCAGTCCTTGATGAGTTGTGTATTTTTGTTTCAGGCAATTAAACCAACAGTCTTGATTGGATCTTCTGGAGCTGGGAGAACGTTTACTAAAGAAGTCATTGAATCTATGGCTTCCTTCAACAAGGTCTCCTCCTATTTTATTCTTTTCATTTTCCTACCGTTTGAGTTTGTTTTTCTGGTTTGACTGGAAAATGGAAATAATGAATTAACATTGGTGAAATTGACGTATGGCATGCAGAAACCTATCATTCTTTCTCTCTCAAACCCAACATCACAGTCGGAGTGTACTGCAGAAGAGGCTTATACTTGGAGTAAGGTAGTGTTTGTTTGTACACATGATTATTAAAATATGTTTACTCATAGCTAGTCAACTTACTACTACACCTGTTTTTCATTGTTTCAGGGACGAGCTATTTTCGCTAGTGGAAGCCCATTTCCCACATTTGAGTACAAGGGAAAGATTATATCATCTGGTCAGGTAACTCATGAACTCAAGTCTTTCTTCTATTGCTTATAAGTTAGAAATTTAGTTAGGATGGTTAAACCCCTCAATGTGTCTATTTCACAGGCAAACAATGCATATATATTCCCTGGGTTGGGTCTTGGACTGATCATTTCGGGCGCAATCCGTGTACATGATGACATGCTTCTTGCAGCCTGTAAGTAGTTAGGATTTTCTTTAAGCTATTTTTGGAACACAGGACAAAATTGGAGTGAAAAAAGTGTTCTGGAGCATAGTGTTTTATGGCCTCTTTGGAACTACATAAATCTAGGGAAAGAAAGAAAATATAGAGGAAAAGTACAACATTGGGTTCAAACCTGTGTTGTAAGAACCGAACCGGACCGCCCGGTCCGACCCGGAACCCGCCCACCCGGCCATGAATCCGGTTCGGTTGGCCAGTAAACCGCTACTAGACCCGGAAAATAGAAAAAGCGGAGAAGGAGGGAATCG